ATCCCGTAGGACTCGAGAGTTCGGTCGTCTTTTAGGATACGACGAATTGTCGTTATGTTAAGTTGGAAGCCAAACTTTTGGGTTGCCCATTGTTGGACCTCACGTGGCTTTATGGCTGCGCTCGCCTTGAAGTAGGCTCGAATACTGTTCTTGTCATGAATGGTCAATCGCTTGTTTCTTGGCTTAATGCTCTGCTCCATTTTGTAAATGTCCTTGTCTACTTGGCATCGACACTGCCTCACATTTGAAAATTCAAAACACGAAGCAGCGCTTTCAAATGACCTCTGAAGACTTTACACATCAAGTACTTGACGTCGAATCATATTATGCAGTTGATTCATTTTGAGTGGGGTGCAAAATGTGAGGTATCACTGTACTGGAGTGTTCGCAGCGGTTCAACCTCCCCGTCTGCGCACGTGAGTACGCTGGCGCAGTTCGCATATTTTCAATCGTTTGTATGCATTGTAACTTCTAATGATAAAGTATATGTCCATTGCTGTTACTCGCGTGATGTGTGCTACGCCATAGACAAAGTACGCAGGGGTTGCTTGTTGTGTAAGGCGCTTCGTTTTCCTCCAACGTGACCACTTGCATCCGTTGAATCAATGCATTCATGGCTTCCACACTTCTGTTTCGACCCGGCTTGTCGCATTTCATATTGTACGCGCTTGACACGTCTTTCGTTGACTGATTTGATGTATTGCATCGTAATCAGCAATAAACGCTCCACTCCCATGACGGCGGCTTGTCGTGTCACCGATTTTAGTGTACCTTTGAAGAATTCTCAAGCAACTGTGCTGAGGTCGCGCTGTATAGGAAAATTGTCTATACGATAGCCAGACAAGCAGTTGCCATGGTTCTTGTGGTGAAGGCAGTCAATGAGGAACCATACGTTGTGGAAAAACCATAGTTCGCGATTCAAGCAGTAGGTGTGAAGGTTGCAAGCGTTGTCCATTACGGCAATGCGTATTGCATCGGTTCTCCGCCATCTCTGGAACAAAATAGTGAAAGGGTGTGTTGGGGACTCATGGTCATACCATATCGAGGACTCTAAGCATACGCTGTGCGTGCAACAAAAGTGGATAATTCCTGGGACTGGATCGCGACGACAGGGCGGCCTTTGTGCAAACTTTATATTTTGCTATGTTGCGCTCGTCGTAGGTTGCAAGTAAACGGCGAACAAGGGCGCCGTGCGTTTCGTCGTCTTCTTGCACGCGCATCAAGGGAGAGTCTGGGCTGTCAAAGTTGTCGGTACCCACAAAAATCCACGGTGAGACGGAACCAATACTGGGCTCAGACTTGGCCAAAGTCTGTGAAATGACTCGACATTCATGCTGGACTCCCTCAGCGCTGCAACCAACGAAGTCATGCAGCACTGCAACTGCATCAGTTTCTCGGCTTTCCATTGGAGCAGGGCATGAATTCGACTGCCGAGCTGGCTCAAAGCTGAGAGGAGAGGTGGAATAACATTCGTTGTCATGCGACAGCCTTGCACAGGTGACTGGCGTTCAATAAACAGGCGCCAGGACTCTGGACAAAGTGCATCAGGCCATGGCCATTGGGAAAGGAGATCTCTAACGAGAGACGCAACAAAAGGGCAATGTATTCCCACTTGGACCAACCACGACTTTGCAGCTGCAGGGCCACATGTTTGGGGGTGTCACCTTGGTGAGTTCGTGGGTCGCAGAAAAGGAGTATAGCCTTCCATAGGAACTATCTCGTTTTAATACGCGCCTTTCTATTAGAACTCCCATGACTTCCGTCGGATCAAGAGCAATTAGCATTCTATGCTTCGATTAGTGGTTGGTTTTGGCCATAGGAACGAGTACCTGGGTGTAGTGTACTCTCTACGACAAGCATATTTGCGTTGCCATCTGTGATGACAAGCGGCGCAGTGTCAAGTGACCCGACATGCGGACAAGTGACGGACCGAACGAGATCGACTTGCTGTGAATGCATAATGTGCCAACATCCTTCAATGAAGGCTTTCCGGCTGCATAATTTGCTGCCTTGAGACGCGTGTAAGCCTTCGACCACACTAAAAGTACCCGAAATGGGGGTAGCACCCTTATTGAGGTTGCAGGATATGACGTTCACCAAATCCATGTCAAAGAACGTTTCTTTCCTGTCGAAAGAGAGCATTCTAGGGCAAGCCGTGCTTGAGCATAAATAAGATGGCACGGTTATTTGTTTCGCACAAAACACGCCATAAACGTGACCATGACCATAGACTTCAGGGACCTCGCCAAACACACCACCACATTCGCATTGGGGTCGAACCAACTGCTTTGCTTTGAACTCCACCAGGGCGAATGCGCTGAACTCGTCAAACCCTCGTCTGGATCGAATATCACGTTGCGCGTCGAGATCCACCGGAAATGACACGGCTGGGCCGACCAAGTGGTTAAAGGAGGGTCGCTGAACTCTTCCAAAGCCAGTCGGCATCGAATGCAACGTACATCACACTTTGGCTTTGATAAGAAGACCACGACCTCGTGTGAGTGCATGACTTGTTATCATGCAACAATAGGCACACCAATGGTTTTCACTTTGCAATCGACGCAGAGCACGATGGAAAGGCTCATTTGAGCTCGCCATTGAGACGTACAAAGCGCTCCTTTGCCTGTCCAATGTTGTTCCGAATTGCACTCCAGGAGGAATGTCCAGAACGGTAGTATCATGGATTTCACGCGGTGGTGGCGGGAGGCTCACGACAAGGATCTCCACATAGAAACACTCGGTGTCATGCCCATACTGAAAGACAAGTCGTGATACGCGCGAGCCGACGCATGCATGGTCTCATCCATGTATTGCCTCGCAAAGTTGTTCATTGTTGAGGAGCACACAGAAAAATAGAGCAGACGAGCTTTTTGGTTGCTGAACAGCACGTCCACAGCGAATACATGCGCACTGTGTTTGTCGAAAGCGAGATCGGACATACTTTGACGCGGAGTGGGTAGGCAATACATTTTGCCAGGACACAACATCAACACAACAAACAAGTCCATTGCCAAGACTAGGTTTGCATAGCGTGGGGCATAGTTCAGGTCCAAGGGTGCGATCGGAGTGTCGTATAGTTCGTTTTCACCTTCGACGGAGTCGTTCAACTCAAGTCCATAGTCGATCAGGTCACCGGATTCGTCAACACAACCGCTGCCGTCGGTGGCGTCCTCAACTAGTTGGCTCGAGACTGCCGTTGGTTGAAGTGCATCGTTTGACAAGTTGTGGATGGACACCACGACAAAGGTTGCCCTCGCAGCTTGATGGAACTCTTCGTCGTCTGCGCAAGTTGTGGGATGGATACGGTCATGGACACGAAGCGCATAGGATTTGCACACATCGCGAAGTTTTTGGCTCCCAGGGCAACTGGAACATCGCAGGCATGCGCTCACAAACTGTGATGCTCGGCCATTCGAGGCTCGTTGCATTGGGCCAAACCTATGTACCCACAATCCAAAAGCCACCAGGTTCTGCACCACAGAATACGTGATGATTAGTACGTGCAGTTCTCGCTTACGCCGCTCGAAAGTGATGCGAGTGCGTCACAAATGATATAGGTATAGCTATCTCGAAGCTTCACAGAAGATATTTATTGCCTGCACCAGTGCACTTGTACACGTTTGCGCAGTGTAACCTTACGAGACAGCGAGCGTCGGGTCCTATGCTTCACGTGTGCCCCAATTGCATTCTAACCGCGGAGGTAAAGTTGGGTGCTGGAAGAAATCGTCGGAAAAGTGAAATAGTCAAAAAACGTTTTTGTTATGATTTTGGCAACTCTACTCAACATTAGCATGCAAGAATTAAATGCTGATGTTGAGTAGAGTAATATTTTGAAATTTTTTTAAAACTTGAAGTGACTTTGGGGGACGATGGTCAGGAGGCACCATTTTGGTGGCATTATACGACGTATTTGTATCCCGAAAAAACTGAATAAAAATACAGGCATCCAAAATGCCTAGAGCAAGCTGAGGATATGGTTGCGCGTGGAAGACTTGGTCATGAATTTGCGTTGGGCCAATGTCGCCGCCAACCGGGGCTTTCAAAAGCTCAACTGTTGGAGCGATGGGCTTCCCAGCTGTACCGAGGGGGCCGCCGTGTTTGCATGTACGCGACTGGCTGAAGAACTTCCCCGCAGTCGTTCCAGATGAATGGATTCAGTGGAGGTGATTGCACCTCGAGTGGTAATCGTCACAACTTACAGTTCGCGACGACATTATACTGTTTTTTCAAAATCTTGGCCAAAAGTAATTCAATTCCTTTGAGAATTTGATGAGTGGATGCGGAAACCATCCTGCTACAAACCTGTATGATTAAAACTCTCTGACATCAAATTGTCTTTGAATTATTTTCACGTGAAGCCTTGAGTTAAGGTCATTTTTCATCCTGCAACGTTATACCCTGTGTCTTTTTATATATTATACCAAATCGCGGGGTTTTGGATATTAAATGATACAGTTTTGGTCATATTCGGTACACAAGGAACTCTGCAATTTGATACCCTGTCATCGTTTAAAAATAGATGCGGATTCGACCTAATTTTACAATCCTGCGCACACCATGGACGTAACACTTGATGCATGCCTCTCGTTTGTCAAGGATGCTCGGTACCGTAACGTCTCGATATTAGAGAGGTTTTGGTGCAATTCCAGTCCCCATCCAGTGGGGCGCCCCACCATATGGTGACAAAACCGGAGTCAACCTGTAAAATCTAGTTCTGGAACCTCCTAAATTGAATGGTTTGTCCACCCATTGAGTCAATTCTGTGGAATTTCGGTTTTGTCCATATATCTCACTCGGTCACCAACCATGTCGGCGCCACCGAAGCGCCGCAACTACACCGACGAAGAAGAAGATCTCATGCTCCTTCGCCAGGTCTCCGCCGACATGCCGTTTCTCGCACGACGCGGCCTCATCATGGACAAGTGGGCAGCCGTCGCGGAAAAGTTGGCGGCCACCGACGACTTTGGCCGCCCCGACTTTGACGCAAAGAAGGCGAACAATCGATTCAACGCTCTTGCGGAGGCCCACCGCAAGGGCAATCACTTGTCGTCACGTGCTTCGGGCATTTCAGAAGACGTCGGCGAGAAGGTGACATTGCTCGACGACATCCTCGCTGCGTACGATGATGTCAAGGAAGAAGAGGCGCAACGAATTGCTGATGCCAAGAAGATGCAAGAGCACAACG